CATAACTTTTGGAAAATTCAGCTTTCAGAGACAAAACTTTTATTTCCACATATTTCCCAAAAACTTTCCTTACTTATTTTTCAAATATAAACACTGCTTCATTTCCTGCAAATTGTTTTTTTTTTTCCTTTTTCTAATTCTGTTCAAGAATATCAACTTCATTAAAACTTTCTTTCTTTCTTTTTTTGTGGAACCAGGGATTGAACTCAGACCTTTGTGCTTGCCAGGGAAGCACTTATTCCACTGAGCCATCTCCCTGGCCCATTAAAACTTTAAAGACTTAATCCTGAGGTATGGCCTGAGGAGATCTCTGTGGAATGAAAGAAACCAAGAGATCATGGTGCCGCTATTTGAAAGTGTTCTTGCAATGGAAACGTAATTTGTTGGCGAAATTCACTGCAGTAGAGAAAATAGGATTAAAACTACACACATACACACACACACGGAATTAGTTTAAACCTTAGGGTGGGTTTCTGAAAAGAAAAGCTTTGGTTTTTTTAAACATATCAAGACAAATCTCACTTCATTAGGTTGACTTTTATATTTCAGACATGAGTCATACAGTAGAAAAAAATACAAAGTACTTGCTACAAATGCAAAATAGTACCTGTCGTATGCATGAATTATTGATCTAGACATTGACCTAAGTATTTTAATTCATAAACATCTAATTCATGTTCCACAGCTCACTGGACTGAGCAGTCCCTCACCTTCACTGCCATCTTTTCTTAAAGGTTCTATTTTCTATGGATTTTTTTCTTTCATATGAAAGAATATGACTGAGAGTAAAATGCTAAACTAATACACTATTAAATACTATACATTCACCAAAACAAGTAGGTAAAATTCTGAAATATTATAAATAACACAACTATATAACAAAAAATGAAGATATAGCAAAATAAAACACCATAAAAATAAACAAAATTTGGTGAAATTATCACCACTTCTTTGATTTACTAACACACATAATTGTACTACATCATCTTTAAAGGAAAGGGGATGTAAAACAAAATGCTTAAATTATAAAAAGCATCTGATGGCTTGGGTGAAGAATTATTTTTCCTCACTGATTCTGTTTAATATTAAGAGAAGAAAGTAATTTACATGGAAAAAATAATAATAAACACTAATATCATTTAAAATAGATGGATTTTTAAGTTCATATAGCTATTCTGCACTTTCTAGAGAGGATCTTGTTTGAGAGAGGAGAGTGACACTGGATGACCTCCACGGGCTGTGGCCAGACATTTAGAGACTCCATAAACACTGTCCCTTCTTCATTGTAAATGCTACCCATTGCCTGATGCAACTTCTCAGTCAAAACATAAATCATTTTGGAATCAGACATTTCTGCACATTCTTCTCTTCAAAATAAAGCAAAGCCTGGAACTGAATAACCTATGCAATTCATACGGATGTACTAAAAGCCTATCTACAGCAAATTAAAGGACACTGATATTTAATTGAAATATGCTAGCAAATCTGGCTTATACAGGTATTATACATGTAAGGAATGAGTCAAATAATGACCATATGAATGTTCCTTTCTTTATTGGAAAGTGCATAGACAGGCAGGTTCTAAAGGCTTTTTCAAGGTTGGATAAACTCAGCCAAGTTGCCAGTTCAGAGTCTCCAACATTTCCTTTCCAAAAACCTGCAGCCTGTACAGTACCTGGGGGCTCAGCAGTCCTGTGCTACCTGTACCACTTCATTATTGCGTTTACTTTGACAATTCATGCTAATGATGGGTACTTCATACTGAACTCCAGTTGCCTTCTTATCCGGAATCCCTTTCTTCTCCAAGTTACTCCCTGTATTCTACACTCTGTTAAAATTACATGATTATATTGGTAGTGATAATATTACTGTCAATCCCTGACGGTAGGAGGAAAAAACCCACATAATTATTTCCAGCATTTGACAGAGGACACCCACCTCTCCTTCAACACTACTTTGTTTTTCTATACTATGTTGCAAAGAGGACAGGCAAATCGTCACCATCATCACCATCTTCTCCATCTCCTCTTTCTTCTTCATCTTCATCTTTGTCTTCATCTTCATCTTTGTCTCCTCCTTCTCCTTCTCCTTCTCTTTCTCCCTCTTCATTGTTATCAACTGACTGAAGATCTGGTTTCAATTTTGCCATAGTCTTGCTGCATAACTTCAAGTAAACCACAATCTTACCATTGCTCTAGGATTTCTCATCTAGAAAGGCCATGGCTTTATGGCACAAACGCAGGCTGCGCCATCACAATGTACTCAAGGGAGGGCATCTACATCTGATGCACTCTCCTAGCTCTGCACCTGAATGGTATGAGGTCCTGCCTGCCAAGTCCCACACTTCCATTTGGCATATCTATGATAATTTTTGGATGCTCTCTGTGTTTATGGTTTCAGTGTTTTCCATATCAGAGCTTGAGAAGAGCTAAGAAAAGAAACTGAGCAACAGTGTGTCAACCCTGAAATCAGAACAGGACCTCAGCCTGTCTGGTTTAGCCTCTCTGCCCCAACCTCACTCTCCTAGAAAGTCTGCACAATGGAAGGTGTGTCTCAATGACAGACATTCAAGTGGAGATATTTTATCAAAGTGAGATCTCCCATTTCATCACTTTACCATTTGTGATTCAATGTGTAGCTCACAAAGAGATGGGAGAGAAAGCCTAGAGAAAGGTTTAGAGAATAACTGAAATATCAAGTGATTATAACATCTAAGTGCTTATGAAATAGGTTTGTTCACATAATTTTTTTTCTTTTTCATATTGAGCAACTTCCAATCCACTGAAGAATCCTCTGTGAAATTGAGATGTAGAAGGTGCCATCTCTCTATAAATAGGCTTGTCCCATGCTATGTGAGTCGCGGTTGCTGACAGTAAATCAACAGATTAATTATTTGTCTTTGTTAGTAATAATAGCATACTATCATCTTCTCAGAAAGCTTTTCTGCACCCCACACTCTCATTTTTCTGTTTTGTGCTTTAGAACAAATCCTGGACTGCAGTGTACAAATATATTCAGGTTGTCCTTGCACTGGAAATGGCTCAACAGTTCCTGCCACATCTGCCAAATTGTTACTGTGACACTGTAGCTACAGGAAGCCACCAGTCAGCATGCTCTCTGCCACAATGAACACTAAGTAGAGAGAGAGAGAGAGATGTGAAGGTAGAACAGATTCAATAAACAATGAACAAAATAATAAATTTAGAAATTCCCTATTTTCTAATGAGATGCTAAGGAAATAACCATGGGGTACAGCACACACTGTCTTATTTTTTCCACACAACGCTAAGTCATGCGATTTGCCTATCTGCAAACCAACTTTACCAAAGACCACATGAGCTTAACTTATCCACCCTCAAATACAATCCACCTATAATACTTACAACCTTGTTTTTATCTAAAGAGGCTCCTTATGATCAGCTCATAAGTTCCACGTAATTATCGCAACTAGATTCAGCAAAGTACTTCTGGGACTGAGATTCAAGAGTCACATTATGCTCAGAGCCTTCAGGTTCCATGACGACCACACAAACCCTAAGAGAAGGTTTCTAAGCCATTCTTATATAACAAAGCAAGAGATTTTATTTTCTCCTAACCTCAATTATTTAATATGCAGAGATAACTCCAGTTTTTGCATAAACTTCATTTCATAAAATGTTCCAGCTATATTAATTGGATGCAAACTAATAGAAACTTTAGTACCTCCTGCCTCGGAATTGCAATTATCTTTGTTTACTTCTGAAATTTACTACTGTATTGCCACCGTAGAATAATCAAGTAAGCCCACTAATGTCAGGAGTGACTAACGTCATGAAAGCCCAATGGGAAGTAAAACAAGGGAACTTCTTTACAAAGCTTTACTATGAATTCCTTAGCCAAGTCTGAACCCCTCTTGAAGCTATCTATGGGCTCCATTCCTGAAACCCAAGAGAACACCAGACTGAAGGTTGCAAAGCAGTAGACCTACGCTGGTCAACAAGACACAGACCAGTCTCCCAATGCAGACAGTGTTTCCTTTCAGTTGTGGTAGAATAGTTGCAGCAACACCTGGAAGATCAATGGTTTGATAGAAGTACAAATCTTAGTACTTTGTTCTCATTCTCTCAAGCTGGGACCCTGGGCTGACTGAGGTGAGAATCACCATACCGAAAATCAAGACATCCCTAAGTATTCCTTTTTACATAAAGATACATCAAGGATTAATCATTGAAGTATAGGGCTGCCAATGAGAAGAAGCTTCAGAAAGGCTATGCCATGAAAATCTACAAGAAGCCTCAAGTTTTCTTCACATACTCTGAAGTCAAACTCTGGGTGCTGTCTTGTTCACTTAGTGTCTCAACCCTGTGAGCATGCTGAGGAGGGCAATGGCACAGGAAAGTTTATCAGCAGAGTGCTTGGAAACCATCGAAGTGTTTTAAAGAAAGGAAAAGGAAAAGATTGTATAAAAGGAAATGGGAGGGTGGGTGAGAAACGGAGAGGTAAGAAATTAATTGGTTTCTTGAAAGAACAATACCTGTGTTGCTGGAGGAAGCTAAAAAAAATTAGACCAAATGAGAATAAGTTCATCTCGCAACTACTAATGTCTGTCATTTGTTCTGAGAGACACGGGAAGGAGTTTTCCTTGCAGGTGAGGGGCAGGATAAGAACTCTATGGATAGATAGAGGGCTGGATGGGAGAGCAGACTGAAAGAATGAACAAAGGAGTGAATGAAGTGGCTGCTGACCTCAAGGGAAGCTACAGGCTACTTGGAACCTGGTGCGCCTGTACCTGTGACTCCCTCTTAGGCAAACTGGCAGGGATAGAAGCAGAAAGTGTTTTCCTGAATATGAGACAAGAAGCTATTCACTAGCAGCGTGGTTGCAATAATTGTCTGGAAATTAGGGACCAGAATGGAAGAAAGGTTCGAGTTCCCTTCCACGAACTGAGGATCCAGGTACTTAAAGGAAGGAAAGAAGGGGTGTCCGCCTCTGCGGAGCCCACTGTCCGGGCTTCTACTGACCTGGTCTCCGCCTCACCGGCCTCTTGCGGCCGCTGCAGAAGCGTACTTTGCTGAACACCCCGAGAACATGCCTCTCGCACAGGGAACGCCCGTCTTTGCTGGGGCTGGAGCGGCGCTTGGAGGCCGACACTCGGTCGCTGTTGGACTCCCTCGCCTGCCGCTTCTGCCGGATCAAGGAGCTGGCTATTGCTGCAGCCATCGCTGCTCAGCGCGGGCCCCAGGCCCCAGGCTCCACTGCGCCCTCGGGATTGCGCTTCCCCGGGGCGAGGGCAGGACCTTGGCGGCCGGGAGGGCAGGGACAGACGCGGGGAGGCAGTGCTGATAGTGTCTGAGGAGGCTGCAGCACCGACAACCCGGCGCCCACAGGGTTAGTCAGAGTCCGGGCAGTGGCGACAAAATGTGTGAAAATCCAGATGTAAACTTGCCCAACTGCTGGCGGCGGGGGTGGGGCCGTCCCAGGCCTTCTTTCGAAGTAGAGGTTTGCACCCCACAGTTGTACCCCAAGGCGATCCAAGTCCAGGGGTCAGGGGGAAGTTTGGTCACAATGCGTTCGGGGTACCAAGTGGAAAGGGGAAAAGAACGTCCAAAATAACAAGCTGTACCCCTGCTGGAGAGGCACAAGCGTCGCCAAGTGTCCCAAGTATAGCTACACATCCACACATAGAAAAACCCGTTTACAAAGCAGAGTCTGTTGACCGAGGCGGGTAGCGGTGCCCCCCGGTAGAAAATACTAAAAAGTGAACAAAATGTTCTTTTAGAAAATAAAACACCAACCGCGAGAGAGGAGAGGAAGGCAGCAATTTTAACTCCCTGCGGCCCGCAGGTCTGGAGGTTAGGAGGTCTGTCCCAGCTGGGGCTAGGTTAGGTCTACGGAATGCATGGCGCCGGCTGCGGTCCCCAGGGCCCGGCCGCCAGTGTGCTGGAAACCGAGAGGCGCGAAGTGGGAGCGGCTTGCCCGAGTCCGGGCAGGGGCACCGGGCGCGGGCAGCTGTTTCCAGCTGCGGTGAGCGCGACTCTCCTCCAGCAGCCCTGCAAAGAGAGCGCGAGGCGAGGGAGGGGGAAGGAGGGCCCGGGAGGGAGGGGCGAGGAGGGCGGGAGATCCTCGAGGGCCGAGCACCCTCGGGAGAAACCCGCGGGAGGCGGCGCGCGGGGTCCCAGGCGCGGGCGCTCTTTCTCTCTCCGCTGGCTTTCCGACACGAGACGGGCACAGTTGGTGATTATTTAGGGAATCCTAAATCTGGAATGACTCAGTAGTTTAAATAAGCCCCCTCTCCGATGGTAGCGATGCCTGCAGAAGGTGTCCTCTCCGGCTCGGCGCCCACACGCCTTACCCGGAGCTCCCCGCCATGGTCCGCCCAGGGCCGCCGCGCCGCGCCGCGCCGATCTCCGCACAGCTCGCAGGGAGGGAAGGAAGCGGGGGGCGCCCTGGGGGGCTCGGGATCAGGTCATCGCCTCGCCGCCCGGGCCCCCAGGTTCGCGCGCCCAGGCAGGGCAGTCGGTAGCTCGCTGGCAGCGGATCAGATGGGGCTCACCCGCTGGACGCGAGGCTGATCACTCGGTCCCGCGCCGCCCATCCCGGCCGAGGAAGGAAGTGACCGGCGCGCTGCGAATCCCCGCGCGTTGGCTCGGGTGGGGCCGGGGGAGGCTGAGGGCGACGCAGGCTCGCGGCGGCTGCGGCTCCGGGTCGGAGCTGCCCACCATGGTCTGGCGCCCAGGGTGCGGGCGACGTCCCTAGGCCGCCCTGGGTGACGACGTGGGGTGGCCGTGCGCGCAATCCCGGCACCCGGGCCCCGCGGCAAGGAAGAGGCAGGTGCCGGCGGCCAAGAACTCGCTCAACTTGCTGCTGCGCTGGTGGCCTCTGGGAGCCGCGGGCTCGCCGGGCGCCCCCGGTCGCAGCCTCCGCGGGCCCGGAAGGGGGCGCTCGGTGCGGAGTCCCATTCAAGGGCTGAGGTTCTGGGCGCCGCCGCCGGCTCCGCAGGAAACTCCGCGCGGACGTGACAATCTCCTTGGCGGCGGGTGGGACCGGGACCTACAGCCGCGGAGTTCCTCGGGCGCCAGAAGCCGGGACGCGCCCAGGTGGAGAACCGGTGGGGGCCCGAACTCCAGGAGCGCGGGGAGGCTGAAGCGTAGACGCAGCGCTCGAGTCCTGCTCCCTTCCCTGGCGTCCGGGGCGCCCGGGGCTCTCAGCCTCCCCTCCTCCCTCCCTTCACCCCTCTCTGTCTTCTGTCTTTCCCCTTTTCTCCTCTCTACGCAATCCTACGTGATTGAGGTTTGGATGAGAAATTCTCAGAGGCTGGGTGAGGGAACTGCAGCTCGGGTCTGCTCCGTCCGGTCCCTCCCCCCAGAGGAAAACACATTCACTGGTAGGTGAAGGACCCCGAGTGCTAGGTGCGCAGAGAAAGGGTCAGGGGTAGCAGAGCTGAAAGCGGTAATTCATTCTCATTCTCATTCTGTCTCTCTCTCTCTCTCTCTCTCTCTCTCTCTCTCTCTCTCTCTCTCTCTCTCTCCCTC